ATGTAACGACCTTAAACTAAAACCATTTACACAAAAATTTCGGCATAACCTCCCCTAAAAATGGTCCTTCAACAACCTGTCCCAACACATAAAACAAATAATATACTCCAGCATCCCATTCATCCGTTCATTATACCTCAAGATAGTTCCTCTTATGGTGGAACATCCACACACCAATTAATCCAAATTATCATAATTACAGTCCCAAAATACATGGTTAAGATCTAAACTCCATGTCTTATAACGTTACATGATACAATTGCATGGAAATATATACCATGATTCCATTAGTCTCATTTACATCAAACAAAAGATAAGTTCGTTCTTAAGTTACAAAGTCATGAATACTAACTTAGTTACATTTCCACAACTATAAATATACATAGAATGGTCAAAATACAAAATAACAAACAACCTTCTAACTACTTTCAAGCTTGCGGAGGATTGTCGTCTGCCGTTTCTTTGCCATGACCTAAAAATAATAATAAGTATGTAGGGTGAGTTATATGCTCAGTAGGTGATACTTAAGACACGCATCTTGTGTCCCCGTGAATCCAAACATAGAATAGGTCAATGGGAATGGGGATCATACAATATCGAGATAATACAACATTCCAACCAAACTCAAGTACAAACAATGCAATGCCATGAAATGCGAATGCATGTCGATGTCGCTCCCCGTTTTCACATTTAAAATCCATCACTTTCAAACTGTTAATATAACTCGCCCTTTAGTGACCCCGCAGCGACACAAGAGGAGGATTGGCTAGTGTCCCTGACCCTTGGTACCCCCGCGGCGTCATTATGGGGCCCAGCTAGCTCAACCACACTAGGGCGACTCCCTAGTCCCCTCTAGACTATATTAACACTCCGGCTCTTTGGTACCCCCGCGGCGACTGGGTTTTCTAAAATCACTTTCATCAAAATACTTTTCCCCAAAACTCCCCATTTTCATTTCAAAAACAATCTTCCCAATCATGTCCCATGGTATGCATGTACATCATGTTCTTAATGCCATGGAAGTGAAGGCTTTCACATTATACAATTGTACATACATTACAAGTACTCTAGGGAAATTACACATGCCATCCGATATCATTCTAGCAAGTTCTACAACAATATAAGCATGGTAAATCAATTTATCAGACAAATAAATTAGTCAAATAAACATGTTATCATACAACTCAAGTAACACATTTAATCATAACCTCACATATAACACTTACATCATCTTTAATACAATTAATTAAAAAACAAGCATGCTTTTCAACAATTTAGGAGGTATAATTCACAAAAAAGCAAGAACATCATGAATTAAGGGTCCCTACCTCAAGATTGCACAAAACCTTTAAAATGGGTCTCTAAATTCAAAGGCCAAGGGGAGACCAAAAGCTGAAATTGATGGTACAACCGCGTAGAGCTCGTCGTGGGCTTCGTTTTGCCTCAAACGGTATTCCAAAATTCCAAGAATTGAGTGAGTTATCAAAATTCAAAATTTGGCTTCCAAAAGAAAAGATAAAATGCAGAGAATGAGAGAGAGGAAGAAAGATAACGGGGAGGGAGAAAATGAGAGAAAGAGAGTGGTCTCTAGACCACTTTGAGGTTAGTGGTGGGTCCCACCACCCATTTTATTTTCTTTTCACTTTTTCTTTCACTTGAAAATACACCTCACACATATAAATGCACCACCAAGCATATACTACATGATTCTATAAATTAAAATGCACCATATGCAATTGGACCCAACCACAATCATGTACGCAACATGTGAAAAGACAGAATTACCCTTGCATTAACAAAAGTCCGAAAAAAAATAAAAAATGCCAAAAATTGGAAACATTACATATTAGGTCAGATATCCGATTGTTTTGACGGGATTCTTGAGTTACTTGATTGTGGAACACTAGTACTACAATCATGATGAGAAGTTTGGGATGGTTGATAAGAAGGTTGGGATGGTTGATGAGAAGGAAATTGAGAATTTCCTCCATAAAAATTGATATTCTCTTCGGAAAATGGCAAAAACTCATCGTTTGATGGGTTGAATTGGGTGTTGTAATAAAATGGATGTCGAGGATCTATGGAATCGAAATGACTTTGAAAATAATAGCTAAGATTGAGAAAATAGAAACAGAAATAAGTTGAATGGTAGATAATAGAAATGTGATGAGTGATGGTAGGAGTTGGAGTATTTATAGAGATTTTAAAAATTTTAACTAATTTTTTTTTTTTTTATAATAAAGTTAAAAAAATTTGAAATTTTTTTTTTTTTTTTTTTTAAAATTATAGCCATTAAGGCACTGTTTGGTACTTTAGAAACAGTGGCTTAACGGCCAAATACATTATTTGGCCTACACATTTAAAATTTAAAGCAAATTTTTTAAAAAAAAAAAAAAATTTTAAGGAAAAAAACAAAAAAAAAAAAAAAAATTTTAAATTATTTTTGGCCTAAAATTATTTTTTTTGGACAAACAATGCCTAAATAATATATTTTTTACTTAATGAATTCTATTTTATTTAATGAATTCTATTTTATTTTTTTCCCCAAAAAAAATAGCGCTAAATAACCTATTTTTAGGTTTATTTAAAAAAAAAAATCTGCCTTAAGGCACTGTTTGGCTACTGTACATAGCCGTTGCAAGAAGAGACAAAAAAAGAGATGCACTGTTTGGCTACTATACACTACCGTTGCAAGAGGAGACAAAAAAAAGGCAGCCAAACGGCGTCGTTTTGAAAGCCTAAAAAACAAAAAAAAAAATTATTATGATCGTGGGCCGGTTCACTCAATACCACGAGCCGGCCGGCGAGCCTAAATTGGGCCCTACCAATTTAAAGAGCCCGCTGCACGACCCAAAGCCCCTCTCTCTCGCAGAAATTGGGTTTTGTTGGTGGGCTGCGGATGCTCTTAAGTGTGTGTGTGGGAGTTGTATACTATTAAGAGCTAGTTTACTCTTTAAAAAAAAAAAAGGTTCAAAGATACAACTTTTTTGAAGTAGGAAAAGTTTATATATAAAATTTTACACTAAATATGGTAACTTTTCAGAAAAGTCATGTTAATAACTTTTTGGAAAAATAATTTCTAATTAAAATAATTGTTTTAAAAAGTATATAAAATTACAAATTGAGCACACTTTTTATATGGGATATATCGATCAAAATTATAAAAAATCAAAGAAAATAATAAAAGAAAGAAAAAGAAAAAAGATTCAGAAAAGAAGAAAAAGAAAGAGAGAATTAAAATCTATGTGATTCTTGAACAATTTTTAGACCATTGGGACTGATATGATAAAAAAAAATAATAATAACAATAATAAATATATATTTGAAATGAAAAATAATTCGAAACATAAATATTTAAGAATAACTTGATGTCTCTTTAAACACTCACATGTTACAGAATTGGAGTTCCAATTTAAATGAAAAACATAAAAGTTCCGGAGAGTGAGTAGAGTTTCTATGAGAGAGGTCTCGTTAAAAATATTGTTGATATGGAAGGTATTATGGGTTGTATAAGTCATATGTATACATGCTCACGAATGGTTGCGTTTTTTCAGAAAAATTAAATAAACATGATTTTTAAAAATTAGTCGTGTCTTTTCAGTGCCTCATTAACTTTTGTTTCTTTATCATTTGTGTCCTCTGATAAACGAAACAGTGCATCCTTTAGGAAGAAAATTTTAGATAATATAATTTATTATTTTTAAAAGGTATTAACTCTCTCTTTTAATTGATGTAAAATAAAATTAAAATGTATATAAAGAATAAAAAATAGAATCCTTTTTATAAGGAATATAGATATAAAGCAGATAACTCGATAGCCCAGTGAGTTAGCGTCTTCGGTGAATTTAGACTTCTGATATATATATATATATATATATTATATTTGTTTGGAAATGGTTATCGATCCCATGTTTCTGTTATCATAAATTGTTAGGCCTATTTTGTTTGTCTTCGTGTTATAACAGTTAAAAGATTATTTATATTTTATTATTAAAAATGTATAACAATAGACTTCTGATATATATATATATATATATATATATATATATATTTATATTTGTTTGGAAATGGTTATCGATCTCATGTTTCTGTTATCATAAATTGTTAGGCCTATTTTGTTTGTCTTCGTGTTATAATAGTTAAAAGATTATTTATATTTTATTATTAATAGCAAACATTAAAAATGTATAACAATTTTATTTTATTTAAATAATAAAAAATATTAAAAATGTATAACAATAATACTTTATATGTTTGTCAACCATCACCCTTACCAACCATTCAACAAACATGACATTAGCATGATAATTGAGGTTGAAGGGTTACATATGATTAACATCATTGTTGAAGTTGAATCTCACGCACATCTTCAAAGTTTCTAAAGTCGCGCTTAAACATTGTTCACTACAAACTAAACTCTTGCACATTTATATAGACATCTTCTAACTACTGTACTGTTAGGATGCATTGCAATCAACGATTAATATCTACATTTTAGAAGGTATCTACATTTTAGAAGGGAATTCTAAAATACCGTACAGATATTCAAAGTTCCTACCCTTCTTTATTTTACATTTTAGAATTCCCTTCTAAAATACCCTACAGATATTCAAAGTTCCTACTCTTCTTTATTTTTCGAGAAGGCTTCCAGAGAGAGGGTTTTGCTAATGTGAGACGAAATATCTTGGGTTTTGGTTTGAGCAAGTATGAGATAACTTTACTTATCTTGTGTAAGTACAGTAGTTACTAGCAACTTCATGAACTCTAATTTGCTACTAGCAAATTGATTTTTCTGTAGCCCAAATCATTCCCATACATGCCTCAAAGACTCTTTAAGAACTAAACACATTATTAACACGCAAACATAAACACAATAAAATTAAACATTATGACACATTAATGGTAAGGAAGGGATAATTCTTTCATGTAAATATTGTTCTTTTTGAAGGATATGCATGGCGCATACAATACTAAAGTTGGTCAAGTCTGGACCTGTCAAATTCATATAAAATTCAAAATGCATTCATCACAATCTGTACCCAACAAGGTTTTATTTCTTCATATCGAGTCCACAGCACAACCAAAAAGCATGTCAAACCATTTTCATTACATGAGAAGTAGCTGATATCAAACACCATTCACTGCTCGGAAATTAACAATCTAGATCATCATTCTGTACAGTTCTGGAGGAATGGTACAGAGACTAGGGAACCAAGCGATAATTCCTTGTGTTCATAACAAGAGCTAGGAAGAAGATACAGGTAGGAAGCGGTTAGAGAATACCGAATAACTTCAAGAGCAACATGATGTACTTGCTGCCCTCTCCGCTGGTCTATCCATAAGAACCATTCCCGATGGGTTCTGTGCTGGCTGAACTCGAGGTAGTCTCTTTGCTGTATCGCACATAAACAGATAATTAGAAAATATTCACGGAGAGAGTTTTAGGTATCCATATAAAAAGTAAAGCAATCTATTATAGGAACATGATGTTTCTGCCTATAATATGGTTGGATGGTATTCGCTTAAGGTCAATACCAATAAATTTCCTTCTGCACAGGATTGTTGTTCATTGAAATAATTGAATGAAGATTGTCATTCTTACCTAGTTCATAGAAAATGTCATTGACATTGCTTGCCGTTTTTGCAGAGGTTTCCATGAAGAAAAGACCATTCTCCTGTGCATATACTTGTGCTTCCTGCAGCAAAAATGGAAATCATATGAAGTTATGAACAAATGCCCTACTGATTAAAGAAACCAGCAAACTTCTAACATGGCATATCAACCCTAAACCCTCAACTCCCATTCCACCTTGAGCTGCAAACACCTGCAACAAGAGTTCTCTTTCTAGATGTACTCTCTACAAAAAAATAATAGCAACCTAAATTATTTGTTTGCCTTAATATTTCTCCTATTAGAAGACAATCGTGGTATACCACTAGTGCACTTCATTGTTTACTCTCTGCACTAGTGATTATAATGACAAATACTTCAGTATATTATTAATGCAAGTATATTATTATTATCAGAAGACAATCATGTTATATTAAAATGAATTATTCACCTTTTAGCAACAATCAAGATAAGAGATCATTGATGAAAAGTAAAAACTTAGCTGTGTAAAGTTCAATAACTAGTCCGAGCACAAAAACAATATGCATAACATAAACAAAAGTGACTATGGAAACAGTCCAATAATTTCACACCCTGCACTTCTATTAACTCACAAACTTCTGTGCTATCATCTGTGATTCCAATCTCATTGAATAACACACAATAACTCTGGGCCAAGTTTACTCAGTGGAAGTTGTAGGGCATAATTAGAATTCCTTCAACATTTTGGTGAGTTGGGTGTCAAAATTATTTAATAGAGCACCTTATGAATGAAAGACATAGCAAATTCAAGAAGAAGTATCGGAATGTTAGTTATAAAATATAAAAGAAGTTCATCATTAATTCTCAAAAGAGGTCTATCCCCTTATATGAATATTGGAGTTCTCTTCCAATCAACATAGAAGATCATGGTAAATTCAATACAAATCTGCATTGTTTCACAGTAACATATATGATTGGAAGAAAATACATACATGATTTAATGATGCACCTTATGAATAAAAGACATAGCAAATACATGAAGAAGTATCGGATTGCTAATTAGAAACCGTACAAGTAGTTCTACATCAATACTCAAAAAAGGTCTATAACCTTGTATGAATATTGGAGTTCTCTTCCAATCAACATAGAAAATCATTGTAAATCCAATACAAATCTGCCTCGTTTCACAATGACATATATGGAGAATATTCATTCAGCCTATTTTTTCAATATTAGGTGCTGGGAATGAGTACATTTCAGTAAAACTTACTTTTGGATGAGTGAGGCATGAAATACAACATCACTTTCTCTCCACTTCGGGAAAAACCCTTCCTTTATAGAGAGATACCGGAACCTTTTTTTAGGATTTTTGTCCAACAGAAACTAAAGCATGTGTAGTTAGTTGTGTTACCAACATTGCTGTTGTTGCCTCACAGTAATTTAGATGATTTTTCCTACCAGACGGGAGAGGCTTAAGTTTCTCTCCATCTATAGATTACTCCAATCCTATTTCATTTAATCCAATTGCAGAAGGTTCTATGTAATTACTTTTTGCTAAATTTCTAGAATTCTTTTGATTGCAACACGATGCTTTATTTTATATTAGTTGATATTTTTCTTGCAATAAATTCAAAGCAAATATGTAACAATACAACCAGTTAGTAGTATGAAAAGCGAAAAATACATATACTTGCCTCCATTGCCACCTTTCTTGCGTCAAGCAAATCGGCTTTATTACCAGCAAGTGCCACAACCATGTTTGAGTTACCTTATGCCAGAGAAATGAGCAAAGATAACTTAGTAATATGGAAGCCACTAAATCATTTGATACCACAGTAATAAGTACAAACAATAAAATGAATGTGTAGCATTAAACAAAATAAATGTTTCAACTACAATGAGGAGCCTAAATGATCATCACACCTAAAATCCTCATTTGCATGACCACAATATTCCCATTCAAGGAATAAAAACTTCACAAATAGGTCAGGCAGATGTCACCGTGTATAGACTTTATATAAGAACAAATAGAGAAAAATCTTGTGGGAAAGAGAGAGAGAGAGAGGAAAAAAAGAAAAGAAAGAAAGTAGATAGCTAGAACCAATTTGAGATGCAGAATGCTACCTTGTGATTGAAGCTCATGAACCCACTTTTTTGCCCGATCAAATGAGGCCTGCAAAAAGAACAATAATAACAATACATAAAATATTAGAATTTTGTCCAAATTGCCTGATGACAATATATAACTTAGAATAGCAAAATATAATGTTTACACTTCAATTAAGGACCCAAGAAGATTATAAATCGACAAGTGAATACACAAACCAAACTTATAACATATAGGAAATAGAAAACTAACCGACAATACTGAAAAGGCGTCAAGATGCACAATAAAAAAGATTTATACTCACATACAAACAAGATCTATTACAGTAATATAAATTTCTGACAACAAAGAGCCCCTGATTGTTTTTTGCCACAGGACAATTCGTGTTGTTCAAAGACCGCCAACAAAACTTAATTGACAATGGTACAACATCGTAACCTTGTAAGAAAGAACTTCAAAACTTCCAACCTATATTATGGCAGACGATCTGCATTATGATATTTGAATAGCACCGCCCTGGACAAGTGAATTCAAAACGCACTAATGTGTGGCTCCACCAGAATTACCAAGTGTCACCCTCCCTCCTTCAGCCTCATTGCACAATGTCCTCCTAATGCATAGTTGCCGCTCACTGGCCACCTTCTCAAGGTGCACGGTGTCAGTCCCTTGAGCGAATTCAGTGAAAACAATGTTTGGAAATGAACCTCCACACTGAGGGCAGGATAGAGATGCATCACCTCAACCCTCTACAAATCCATTCCCATAGCAGACACAGTAAGATGCGTTGTTGCCTGCCTGTGTCATAAGCAGGTCCAAGGGAGCTTTTAGAGCTTGCATGCCTCTGCATTAAGAACCAATGTTGCATTGTGAACCTATTGAATCCTTCCAAGGCGTGTTGGTTAGAGTTGGGGGGATGAGCAGAGGTGAAAGATCTGACCCAGCCCTTATGGCCTCAAGGGCTAAAGGTTGCCTCTTGGCTAGCCTTGGAAAGAGAAATCATTCTATACTCGAGGAAGAAATAATTTATCTGTGATGTGAGTTGAGTTTGACACACAGCACAGAAATTTTGTTTGTGACATGAGTCGAGTTACACACACTCGGCACAATAACATCTCTAGCATGCCTACGTGATTTGCAATGCCCAACAGCTAGGCTTAAACTTGCTTGTTGGCAAGTCCAGGAGGCTTTTTTACTCCACGACAAGTTGTCAATTCCGGGTTGCTATTTCACTCAGCCACATATCCATTCAACCCTTGCAAGTAAAGCTGTAAATGAACCAAGTTGTCTGCAAACAGCCCAGGCTCAGCTCGCGTCCTTTATTTGATAAATGAACCAAGCTCAAACATGATTTCTAAGCTCAAGCAACCTTGAGCTCGGCTTGTTACTTCGTGAACATGTTTTGTGAGCAAAGTTCATGAATGATCTCGTGAACATCGCCATTATGCATGTATTTATATAAATGTAATACAATCAGTGCCAGCTCAACCATTAGGCCAATTAGGCGGTTGCCTAAGGCCCCTCAACCTATAGTCTCTAAAGAAGGGTCCACCACGCCCACTTTAGCAGTTCTAAAGTTAAGAATCTCCACCAAAATTTTCTATTCTTACACATTTTTCTAATTTTCTAGACTCAGCTCAATTATATCAATCAATTTCATGTCTTTCTGTATTCTTCTAAACTCTCCTCCTGTTCTTGATGTGATCAAGCAGATTTGATAATTATCTTTATCTTTCCTTGGTAAGACAATCTTGCATTCTAAAATTAATAAAAAAAATTAAAGTTATAAATGAGTTGAGGAATTTATAATAAATTCAAAAACTTTCAACAGCACTAGAAATAAGCCTGGTTCTACCATTGTAGAAATAAGGTAAATAATTCCATTAAAAAGAAAGAAAAAAAAAAAAAAAAAAAAAAAGAGTTTTGTAATGATAAACAGTGGGGGAGTCTTTGAGGGAGTCTGCCAAGTCAGGAAGGATTGGATATTTGGATTGGCCTAATTCTTCTTCTGATGATCGATTCAACCTCTAATAAAAAAGATATACCTTGGCTATATTTCATCTCAAGCAGCTGAGAAAAACTACCCACACTTCAAACTTTAAGTACTACAAAAAAATTACCAAAACAAAAAATAGATAAAAAATCTAGGAAATATACAACCAAGTTTTTCAGCAAAAGTAGTGATGTTGTATCTCAAGAAGCAAGAATAATGGTTTATAAATATATTCTTTTTTAATATAGACAATTAATTAATATTAACTATTTTACTACATGAATATCCTCTTCCAGAAGTTTTGCCTTAGGCCTCCCCTTATATTGAGCAGCACCTATATACAATCAAATTAGTTTTCAAGATATATTAAGGCCCAATTTGGTTTATACATAAGTTTAGCCCAAAACAATATCCTATACTGTTAGCCCAAATAAGTCCCATAAAATTATAAAGCACATAATAAGCAGAGCTCTATTATCCCAAGTAAGACCAATAAAATTATAAAGCCCATAATAATGTTTAACCAAACCCTAACCCTACACTCTCTCCAAGTTGCGTCCCCGTTGCTCACAACAAATTCACGCCCCTCTACCGTCTCTCTTATCTCTCTCTAGCTACAGTCCCCCCTCTCTATAAATGTATCAATGTTGTCTTCCCCTTTGTAAGTAAGAGATGGAAGCATTTTGGTTACAGTGGCATCCCATGGAGTTCCATTGCATCACCAATTGAAGGACGAAAATTTTCAGTGGCATCACGATGGAATGACAATTGCCACTGATTACCTCCTGGTATCCATAGATGTGTGCATACATGCATGAATATGTGTTTATGTGTGTATATAATATATGTGATCGCATAATACAGACACATATACACAAATATAATATGTCATTATAAACAAGCTTCAAACCGAGCTTGAGCTTTCCGTGAATACTGCCTGCTAAGCCGAGCTCGAACCTGTCCATGCTAAGCTCGCTCGAACCCTTCCAAGAGTTTGGCAAGGTGAACTTGAACATCCCATAGGTCGGCTCGACTCAATCCGATTACAACCCTATTGTTGCAAGTTGGCTACCAGACACTATAACTATAAATACAGGCTAGTTTGCATCGTTGGGCAAATAAGTCAGCTCTAACTGCATTACACTTGAAGCCTTTGTGTCCCTCGGTCTAGATAGCACACTCCCAGGGCAAATCATTGCCAGCCTCTCTCTATCTCTCTCTCTCTCTAGACCATCTCAACTCTCACCAAATCCCAAACTCCCCAAAACCATGCACCATCCCCAAGTGTATAAAACCCAGTTGGCAAGAACCCGTAACTCACTTCTTGCAAAACAAAACAAAATTTTTATTAGTAATCACACTTCCAAAATACTGTGCATGTTATTTACTGATATAAGAACTTCCATTCTAACAATTTTTGAATAAACACTTTTGACAAGAAGAGATACAAGTATCCATCATGAAGATAACCTACTGTACCTCCCAACCTCAACCAAACTATTATCCTCTAAAGCGCCGAGGAGGGGTGCGGTCAGACATGTGTCCGACACTCTGAAGAAGTGTACCTTTTTTTATAGGTTGGACACATAGGAGGATACACCGCGACACGCCAAAGGGACACGGCGGTTTGGAGTTTTTTTTTTACAAGAGAGAGAGAGAGATGAAGATGATATATAAATGTTTGTATTCATCCAAAGATAGATGTATAAAGAGAGATTAGAGATAGAGCTAAATATGTGAAGAGATGACATGGAGGGGATGGAAGAGATGAATGGCTAGAAGAGAGAGCAACAAGAGCTATGAATGAAAGATAGAGTAAGGAAGAGAGAGATGAAGAGACGGAGGAGATGAGAGAAGGGTCTGGCTGGAAAGCAAGAAGAGAGAGTCTAGGAGTCGTGAATGAAGTGAGGAAAAGAAGGGATAAGATTTCAATTTTATTTTCTTTTCAAGATGTTTGGTCACAAGGATAAGAATTGTGCTTTTGGATATAACGATAATATTTTGTTTGTATTTTAATGAAATTTAGGCCTATGGACTTTTATGTTATTTAAGAGAAGTATAGGCTATCTAGTGGACCTAACTTAAATGGGTTATGTTTATGAATATAGATTTGAAATTGAGCAAAAATTAAATTTTTATATATAATAAGAAATTACATTATTATTATTTTACTGCCGTGTCCTTGCCATGTTCGTGTCTTTTTTTTTTTAAAAAAAATTGCCATATCACTGTGGCACATGTCATATCCGTGCTTCATAGCTAGTATCTCACTAACTACCACAAATTATCAACTGAGTTCGTAAAAGAGTTTCAATTCAGAACGCGACAAAAATATTTCTAAAATTTTATATCTAGAAAATCCAACTTTTAAGAAGACACTCACTGCCAGGAAGGCATTTGGACGAAACAGCCCCTCTATTTGTTTGTCTCTCTGTCTATTTATCAATCTATCTCAAGCCTTTGAAAGCCCTACCAACTGTGAAGCACGGACACGAAACACGTGTACGACATGCATGGACACGGCGATGCGGAAAATTCAAAAATATAAATATATATATATAGGACATGGAAACGCATAGTTGTTAAAGGTTCACCAGGCACAAGAGTATTGCTCAGGCGAAGCAACTCTACAAAGTCACATGTGCCTTTTTGTGAGGCGCATGAAGCGTCAGGCGTGATAAAGGCATGCCTGACTTAAGTCTCTTCTTTTCAGTTTACTGCACCATTGGGTTTTAACTGAAACTTCTTTTATTACTTTACTGCCTCTTTAAATACTTTTACGGTCTCTTCTATTACTTTTACCGCCTCTCTTATGTTTTTACTGCTGCTTTTATTACTTTTACTGCCTCTTTTAATACTTTTATTGTTTTTACTTTTCCAGTGCCTCTAATTCCTTTTACCATTTTTTTCACATATTTATTTACTACCCAACTGATATTTGTTCCACATCATCATACAGTAGCCTTCACTGCACAAAATTGCTACTCTTCTTAAGATATAAATTTGCAAAGCACATTGCACTCTTGTTCATAGACAAATAAAGTCTAGCAATACATCACCGCCACTCTCTTCTTCAGCCAATGAAGGCCATGGGGAAAAATCTATTTTAGCAGAAAAACCATGTTGTGATGATGGGAACTAGAACTGTCCAAGTTATGTATATATACTCTACTCTTCTTTTTCTCCTCCTCTTCTTCTTCTCCACCTCAAACCCTAGATTATCTTCCCCTTTTTTTTTCCGTCATCGGCCATCCACACAAAAATCACCTTTCTTTTTTCTCTAACAGAGTTCCTTTTCTTTCAACCAACCCAATTCTTTCACTCTCATATTTTGTCCTTATTTATTTATTTATTATTCTTTCCTTTTCTTTTTAACAGGTTCCCTAGCTCTACTTTACTCTGTAGTCACAAATTTTTTCCCTTTTTCCTATTCAACAAATTCCCAAATCTTCCACTTATTTGCCACTTCTTGTTTCCTTTTTGCATCTCTGATTTTTTTCCCCTAATTATCCTGTGACACTCTTTTGCCATGTATTCATTTGGATAGGGTAGCTTATTAACAGTTATATGATGTCATATTATATGACATACATCATATAATAACTGTTTTTTTTTTTTTTTTTTTTGCATTATTTGCAATGTTAAATTAGTCCCACCAGAAAGCTCATACTTTTCTTGAAAAACATAAAAGTACACAAGCCCAAATTCCATTAAAATACAAACAAAAATTATATATCTTTTTGCATCAAAACGCACACTTTTTAACCTTGTGACCAAACATCTTGGAAAAAAAAAAAAGATTGAAATCTTATCTCCTCTCTCTCTTTCCCACTTCATTCACGACTCTCTCTCTTCCAGCTGGACCTCTCTCTCATCTCCTCCATCTCTTCACCTCTCTCTTTGATTCAAGACTCTCGCTCCTCTCTCTCTCCCAGTCGCACATCTCTCTCATCCCCTCCATCTCGTCACATATTTTGATCCATCTCTCTTATCTCACTATATACATCTCTGTGAATGAATGCACACCCACGCGCATACACACATACATGTATATATATATCATCTTCATCATCTTTTTTTTTGTAATTTAAAAAAGGAAAATTTTATAGAGTGTCAGACACGTGTCCAACATGGATACGGCACCCCTCCTGGGCTGCTTTAGAGACTACCAATATACTAATCTCCATATTAGGTCGCACACTCACACCTCCTTTGTTCTGCTCAGCTCATTCCCAAGCTGCAGTCATCATCAATAACATAGCCACCACCATCTTCACATACTCAAAACGTCTTGCCACCACCTGCAAGTACTACTTAATGGGATTATCATTGATTCAACGTTAATTGCTATCACGTCTTCACCATCAAAGTCCGCTCTTTTCTTACGCACTTACCACAGTTGGTGAACAAAGTTTCCAAGCTTCAAGGTGCTATCAGCCACACTCGACTTTCCATCCAAATGCTACCACCATGACCAGCTTCAATCTCAGAATCATCCAAACTCATCACAATCTTCACGACACTGACTTCCCAGTACTTTGCACCAATGCCTTTTGACCTAGGAAGCACGGACACTCCAAAATGGGCGAAGAATCCGTGTCCGACACGCGTCGGACACGGACACGCGTCGGACACGCCCCAACACGTGTCAGACACGCTAAAAAAACGTGTCTGGAATTTTTTTTTTTTTTTTAATTTTCGGACACGGCATGGATACTCTGCGGACACGGACACTTCTGGAAGTTTTTTTTTTGAATGCTGATATGTTCTTTTTTTTTGTTTTGTACTACCCTTTTGGTATTGTAAATGGTAAAAGTCCTAGGTCAAATGATGGATGGGAATAGATGATAGTACACTGACTTATTTTTGTATCTTTTTTGGGGACTAGCCTTTAGGTTTTTGTGAATGTTAAGTGCTAACAGTAAAGTCCTGAATGTTAAACAGTCATGAATGTTAATAGTCCTTTCTGTCTATGCTTTTGTATTTGGAGTAAAGTTGCAATGATGATTAAATGATACTAATTATTATTCTAATGTCTTGTTTTTTATTTGGTTTTATAACTCTGCAACATTGTTCTTTTATAGTTTATTAGTTACGAGTTATGATTTGCGTTTTTTTTTCATTGTGAGGTTGATGAAAAATAGTAACACTCAGTAATTTTTAAAGTACCACATCATATATATATATATATATATACACACACACACACACACATATATATACACTATTCGCCGTGTCCGTGTCCTAATTTTTTTAGATTTGCCGTGTCGCCGTGTCGGTGTCATGTCGTATCCTTGTCCCGTATTCGTGTCCATGCTTCTTAGCTTTTGACTTTCTGATCTTCCCCAATGTCAATCACAAGCCTCGTCTCCAATGGCTAACCTCCCTAACCCAGTTAAATTTTTACCTTTACAATTTTTCTAGATGGAAGAATATTTCATGGTATTTTTAGATTAAAAATATTATTTAGGGATTTTTCGTGGTTTCCTAACATCTATTTTACAATTTAATAGAAATACAGTAAACTAATATTCATAGGCATTAGTTTCCACGTTTTGTAGACTTGTGATTCTCAATCTGATCCAAAGAATGTTGGATTCTGATTTTAAAAACCTCTCATGTGAGGACCAAGCACCAGTGGTGGTATGAAAATAGCACGGTAGGGGATGGCACGACATTTTCTTTGGAAAATCTTGTCCTGGAGTGAAATCGTTAATGATAACGGAATTGGTGATAGGTTTATAAATATGTACAATTTGCCTATAGGCCTTGACTTGACACCAACAGAATAATTGTTCACAAAGAGTTAGGAGTCAGTAGTAATTGTATCATAACTCACAAGACACTTCTGTAAGCAGAACCTAGTTCCACAAGCCATGCATAAAAATAGAGGATTTAATTAAGACACCCACTGATCCTAAGCTTCCTTTACGAAAAATCTGACTGAAATATCAAAAACTGAAGTAAGAGCATCTATGAAAATACTAGCAAATAATCGATTGAAAGCATAAGCCTTGACCAAGTTACCATTATAGTGAGACTTGCACACAGGTTCACATGACGCTCTAAAACTTCCACTACTAAAAACATTGAGGCCTACATTGAATATGATTAAGGTCCATCGATCTCGAATTGGGGGGGTGGGGGGGAGGGGAAGTTACCATTATATGTATATTCATGCCTGGATTTGCAGAAGCAACACACAAACGTTAATATATTCCAAATGCTAGTGAGACTTGCACACAGGTTCACATGACGCTCTAAAACTTCCACTACTAAAAAAATTGAGGCCTACATTGAATATGATTAAGGTCCGTCGATCTCGAATATTTCACTCATGGACCATATAATATACTCTCTTTTTAACTGGTACTTGTTTACTAGTACCAGTCATAAAGACATTGGAAGACTTCTAAAAAATGATGTTTATGACATATTTGCAAGGTTTTTCTACTATCATAATTCATAAATATTTATTCAATTGAATTAAATCCAGAATTTATTTCTTTTTGTAATTATATAGCATTAAAGAATTGTACATAAGCATTATCATCTACATGACATGTATATATTATCTATTCATGTCTCACAATTTGAAATTTGGATAGCACGAGGCTTACACCTCAAGCTTCAAAAGGTTCTAATGCCTTTTCTTATAGAAAAAGAAGAAACAACACTTGGTGCTTGTGAGCATGTGCTTACCTGATTTGTTATATCATAGACAACTATTGCAGCTGCGGCTCCTCTGTAGTACATCGGAGCTAAGCTATGGTATCTCTCTTGACCTGCTGTATCCCATATTTCAAATTTTATGGTTGCATCATTTACGGCCAATGTTTGTGAGAAAAAGGCAGCACCTATAGTTGATTCCTACAACATCATTAAGCAAAAGTCAAGCCCCAGAATCAGAAAGGAAGATCCGAAGTGATAATATTTATTACCCTTGAGATCCATGATAAGACCAACCTGAAATTCAACAAACTGCCCTTTGACAAAACGCAACACCAGACTAGATTTTCCAGCTCCAACATCCCCAAGAAGCACCTGAAACATGAATGAAACATCGAATTTGACAAATTAGTAAATACATTCATCTAAAGGAGAGTAACCAGAGGCAAAGTTTGGGAACAAATGTAAGAAAGGAGGGGCACTGGGAAAGTAATTACTACCACAATTGAGAACTTAGTTGATCGAAGAGCCACACTAAAAAAATTATCTAAAGAAGCGAGGACATGAGTCTAGTTAGGGAAAAAAATAATAAAAATATACCCATGACATATTTTAAAATGGATTATAAGCTAATAATACACTAAAACCATAATAAAATAAAAAAATAAAAACATATGAGAGTGATTTAAAGGGATGTAAAAGGGAAATCAGTTTGAGTCCAAAATCATGAAACTGAATTTAGTAACAGAATTGAATTGAGAAACTAAAAATCCAGCAGAAATTCATAAAAAAGTGATCTACCTATGAAAAACTTAAGATGGGCCAAGCAATGGTGCAACCATAATAAGTTGAAAAGGCAATATCTTAAGAACAAAACGGAACCCGGATCAATAGATTGGAAAGTGCAAAAAAACTGACTTTTTTTCCTGAAGGTCATGATGCTATTAATCAACAGTCACATATTAAATCTCATTATGCTCATTGCTCTTAATCAATAGAGCCACATATTAAACTCAATATTAAATAATTAAATATGATCCTGCCATCAAAAACTAAAATGTCAGAATTCTTAAAGAAGAACATATATAGTGAAACTAATAACTCCAAACCCATATAAAAAGAAAACATCCTTTGGCTAAAATTCTACGGACAAAACAATGAACAAAAATAATCTTCTAACATAACCGGAAAACCCACATCTAGATTACAACAACTAAATAAACTCATGATATGATCAAACCAAAACAGAATCCTACATAAGTTATCAAATTGGGGGAATAGTTGTGTGGGGAAGAACAATATGATACCACGATCATAATTTCATAACAGAATTATTAAAAATTCAACAAAAAAATCTACAATTGGCAACAAACAAAGCAAAATATAGCATACAGAACAAATTTGCAGCCCCAAATATCAAAATCTACCAAATTAAAACAGGCCCACAACATAATTTGCATGAACAATATATATATATATATATATAAACCACAAAATGAAACAAAATTGAACATGAAAACAATAAAAACAAAAAATACCCACCAATTTGGCATTGGTGTTTTTGTTTCCACTGGTGGCCATGGCAGTGATCGGTTCAATACAAACAAAGATTAGAAAATATAAATTATGTGGAGATCAAAGGGCTTGTTTAATGAGGTTTCGGATGTCAAGAGATGAGAGAGGTTTATCACTTAGACGCAAGACGAAGAAGGCAAAAGGGATATGCGACCAACCCCCCTCCGTCTCTCTCTCTCTCTCTCTACCTCCCTAAGAAAGAACGCCCAAAACACACGAAAGCGATTGAATATTCCTGTCGAATTTATTATTGAGGCCAGAAAAAGCTTCCTCCTGTTTATAGTTTGCCTTATTAGCAGCTGGCATCAACCGTGGATGGCGTCAACTCAATTGATTAATGTTATGTTGTGGGCTCTCCAAAAAAAGTGATCTTACTAAGCAAAGATAAATGTGTTTTAAACCATCTGATTGGGCATATTAAAAATTTAAAATTAAACAAAAAATAATTATTATTATAATAAAGTGCAATGTCAATTTGGGCCATGAATGAATCAATTAATTAATTAACAAATGGGGCTGGATTCGTGGATGATTGTGAACTAAATCTCATTTTGGCTTCGTGAACATGTACATAAATGTAATGATGTAAACATATTCATAACATAAGTTTGTGTAAGTTTATGAACAAATCAAAACAGTTTTGAATTCGAGTTCGAATTACTTTGTTAATAACTAATAAGCAAGTTGAGTTTGAGCCGACTTTTTAAAATAATGATTAACCAAGCCCGAGTTGAACCCATAAATGAACGAGACAGATCTAAAAAAATTCAAGCTTGACTTGACTCGAGTCACTCCATTTGCAGTCCTAAAATCAATAAGACACTAAAAATTTCCATCACTGGCATGAATTTGGATTTAAATTAAAATTTTCAATTTCAAATTTATTTTTAGTTTCTGGATGGTTCAGATGGAATCCCATAGACCTGTGGTTCAATTTCACCAAAAATGGATCCTGACCCAAATCCATATGGTTCAAGAAATTTCTAAAGGTGATTTAGGACTTATTGAGGATTTTACTTTTAAAACGGCTCGAATCGTTCAGTTTCAACTATCCAGAAAGACTGAGTTATAGGACTAGGATGTCTACTTTTAGAACAGTTCAAATCAAACCACACCCCTTCCCTGATAATAGTTCGGTTTGAACCATTGGACCTTTTTCTTGTAGAAAATAGGATTTGATTACCTTCCGAAAAAAAAAAAGATTTGATTCTTAATCAGAAAAGAAATTACATATTTAATTTGAAATTCCCATATATATATATATATATATATATTGTAATAAAATTATCGTGAACACGATATAAAAAACTTTAAAATAATAATATACAGTATTTCATTGTGGAACTTTTGCTTTGATGATTAAAACAAGAGGTATGGTGATTGCGGTGATAAAGTGAGGTAGTACATTTACATAAATTGTATAAATTTTAAAGTTAAAATTATAAAACTCTCATGTTTACAAAAACGACATATAATCTCCTCAATTATTAAAAAAACTCTCTTAATTAACAAAAATTATCATGGCGCCCAAATTCTGTGACTGGTTAAGTGAGAGTTAAATGATTAAATTGACCTCCATATTATATTATTATTTTAAAACTCAAATTTATATTTTTAAAATGACGTTTATGCCTTTAATTTAATGTTAATTTGGGAAGTTAGTTCAAATTTTAATTTATTTCAAAAATATGAATTAAACAAGGCAGCAAGTGAGTGACTGACAATAACACCACATTAATTCATTCCGTGTATAGAATTGGCAATGGCCAATGCAGAACATTGTCCATAACCAGCTGTGCATATATAGCAGGTGACTATATATATATATATATATATATATATATAGTATCTTTAAGTGTCTCTTAAAGATAAACAAAGTCATAATTGTTTACCTTATATATATAGGATTGTATACACATATGTAAATGGGATAATTCTAAAAAAAATTTGTGTTTTGGTGGTTAAATTTTAAAAAGGTGGAGTTAAATTCAAGTTTTTCAAATTAATGGAGTTTTATGAAATGACGTGGATATGAAAATTTATTATAGATTTTTTTTTTTAATTTCTAAACTGCCCTGTTGCGAAATGATCAAACTATTCATTCAAGTTGATATTTTGTGAGGGAATTTGTATCCATGTCTAGTAAGAGATTGCCTCTTTCATGGTGTTTAATCTATAGAGAGGGGAGGAATAAATAGAGTGGTGGAGTTGACCGGCCAAACAGGGTGCAAATGGGTTCATGTGACTTTTTCTTTTGGTCCTATTGGTTCAAGTTACTTGCAATCTATCAGTTTCAGGTAATATTATCGACCGGAGTTTCACTAATGCTCAATTTATTGCTGCCATCGCTACAGATCGAAACCACCCAATCATTTGTCCTCACAGCAGCCAACCACAATGACAAACCTGCCCAAACCCAAACCGATGACCCACAAGTCGTGGAAACCAGTCAAAGAACCCAAGACCCAGCACTGTTTGCCTTGTCACCACGTCGTGCCTTCTCCTTCGCCTGAATCCATGGAGCCTCTATAGCAACGCGACAATGGAGAAGAAGATGAGAGTTCTGTGAATAAACACTTATACAGTAGAGAAGGTCAATTTGGTAATTATATCATTATAAGGGTATTTTGGTCAATTAAATTTAACAAGTGATGCATGTGGCAATGAAGGGATTTGCTCCTGTTGGGTGGGTGCTATGATATATTCTAAAAAACTTGAAGAGGATATATGATAGTTTTGTTAATTGAGGGGTTAGTTGATTGTTTTTGGAAACAAAATGGAGGTTTTGTGATTTTAGCCCTAAAGTTTACTTACAATTTTTAGGGTTTGTTAATATTCTATATAGACCATTTACTTTTAATAATTTCAATTATCTTTTCTTTCAGTGATTATTTTTTATCGTTTTGCCTAGGGATGGCAAAAATTCCCAACCAGGCGAGCTCTGTCCCGCCCTGTTTATGATGGATTTGGGCATCATTTTTATGTAAATGGTGATGGGGACGGGGGTAGTTTTTGAAAACCCGACCGGGGGTGGGGTGGGGACGAGGATAGGGCAAACCCGCCATGCCTCACCCTGTTTATGGTATAAGTTTACAAAAATACCCTTAGATGTATGTTAAAGTAAGTGGGTGTGGGTGTGGGTGTGTGTGGGTGTGTGTATATATATTTATATTTATATATAACATGTGGGAACAACTTTAACATTCAGCTGGTTATGGGGGTAGGGGTGGAGATGGGGTGGGGATGAAAATTTAAGCAAGGATGGGGGTGAAAAAATTCACCAATTATGGGGATGGGGAATGAGATCCCCGCCCCGCCCTGCCCCATCCCATTGCCATCCTTAGTTTTACCCATGAAATATTTGCGGTCACATTTTAAATATTAGAAGGGCAAAATGGCCAGGCAAGGAACTTCAAAAGAGGTAAATGAAATTACAAAAGTTTGTGGGGTCCATATGAGATTTGACAAGCCTCAAGAGAAGAACGTGAAATTTACCCTCTTAAAATTTTGTTATCCTCTTAGTTAAAGACATTCTTTGTTCTTTTATTTTTTCTTTCTTTTATTTTCTTATCATGATTAAATTTTAAAAACTTTCAAAAATTTCATTTTATTTTTGAAATTTAGATCTTTAGCTGAATTCATATGAATTATCCAATAGGCCCGTTTAACAATTAAAAAAAAGACTGTTTTTTTTTTTTTAACATTTATATATCATATAAATTTATGTTGAATAAAGGGAACAATGGATAATTCATTTGAAAAAATATATATTTTTCATAAAACAAGCTAAGCCTGAGTTGGTCAAATTCCAACCAAGCCATGAATTGAAGCGTCAACTTTTTCTAGTCGACTGGTCAAAGCCAATGGACATCAATTGACGAATCAAAGTCCAATTTGATGCCTAGTCAAATGGAATGGTTCCAGAACATTTTATTTTTAAAAATTCATTAATTTTATTTTGTATGTTATTTATTAATACAAGAATGCTGTATAATTTGAATGTAAGTGAAAGACACAACCGTATTACTTAATAATTAGTTAATAAGATGACAAGGTAAGACTTTTTTATCTACCACGACACAACCCACCGTCGGATCTCATCACCTTCATATTTACTTACTCAATCGCATAAAATAATAATACTTTATATCGAATTCTAAAATACTCAATCGCCTAAAATAATAATACTTTATATCGATTTCTAAACAAAAGTGATTCGATCAGCCGTAATAATAACAAACGGACATAGTATATTGCCTTGATTAAGGTGCAGCTTCTATATAGCACACTCTCGCTATCAAGTTTTTTATTTTAACGTGATGATTATAAACGAGACCTCCATTCTCTATATACATCTCCTTCATGGTCGATGATTAGGATACGTTATTATTAACCACTAAAACATACTTTCTAAAACTTTTTATTTAACTATTGAGATATTTATAATACTTACAAAAATTCTATAATCCTCTAAAATATTATTTAATTTATAAGTTCATAAGAACTCTAATATTTTAAAATTTTCTACACAATTGTGGAAGACTCTAAAACTAACTTTTTAAGTATGTTACTATGTTGTGTAAATCTACCAAAATAAATAAAATAATCTTTTTTTCACCATATATAATTATATATATTGATATATTACTCTTAAAATAAATGAGGTACAGATCTCTCAAAGTTGTATTTTTTTTAAAGTTATTTCAAAATTTACAAATGTAATCCATTATAGTTTAAAAAAGGAACAAATTTTAAAATATTTTTCAAATACATAGTTTTGAATGCCTATATCTACCAAATGTTGAAACACACTCTCTATTGCCTAAACTTGGTTTTCTCTGCTTCGTATCTCTCAAAATATCTCTTCTTGCTGGCATTCTCTCTCTGTCTCCCCAATTTCAAAGTGTTTTAACAACCATCAATTTCAAATTTCTCAAAACGTTTTTTTGTCGATTACACAACTTCCTCACATCTACTTGGGAGACTAAACAAATAATACGAATTTAGCAAAATTACAAAAATGATATAAGTTTAGAAATTGAATTAAGCAATGGACATTACAATTCAAATTAGAGAGTGAGAGGTGACTTAGAAATGCAACGCACATTTAGAATGGAATTTCAGAAATATTAAATTATAATTAGAGTACTACAATAATTTTGTTAAATAAATGGAGGGAGGCAGGGGTTATTTATTACTCCTAAGCTTCTCTCGTCCCATGTCTAGGTAAGATTCAATTTCATTTACCCAAACGTGTCCCTGCTCTATTTTTGTAGCTTTATATAGTTGTCCAATTAGAGATGAAGGATGACAAAAAAATAAAATAAAATAAATAATTACCAAAAAACTACATTAAATGGATACATTTAAATACTTTATATAGCTTTAAAACTGTTCTATTTGGTGATTTTTTTTTTTTTTCTTGACAAACTAGGGGGAGGGGGAGATTTGAACACATAAAAATTCATTTGGGGAGTTGGGGCGCTCTACCAATTAGGCCGCTGAGTAGTGCCCCATGACGTTTATGATTGACCAAAACCAAATGTTCCCGAACCACCTAAAAATTTCACGTGTTATCTAATTATAACTCAAATGAAAAAGAGGCTTTACAAAATTTTTGGACGAGACGTTGTTGTTTTTTTTTTATTTTTTATTTTTTATTTTTATCATGTTTTCTCTTATTATTTTTTATTTTTTACAAAGTAAGAATTGTTAAAAGTTAGACTAGTAAATGTAGAGAGTCGAAACCTATCACTCCAAAATTTGTCGGAAGTCCGGAGAGAGAAATGTGTTCAATAGTATCGAGTTATTTTATTATTATTTATTTGTGTTTGTGGTTTTAGTTAGGTAAATAATTTATACACATGTAAATTTTGAGGCTTTATACCACTAAACCAATAGTCGAATGGTGAATGATAGTATAGAGCTTTGTTACAATTTGATAACAAAAATTGAAGTTGATCCACTGGCTATAAATAAAAGGGAATAAAAAGCTGAAATACCCACTACTACATCCAGGCCCTTTTCCTCTGCCCATAAAGAAAAAGGGTAAGCAAGAATTGGTGCATTAGTTTGTCAGAAAAGTTCCACCAAAGCTGCTCAATTAGCCCATAATAACTCTAGTGGCCCAGCAAAGAAAAAGGAAAGAAACACTAACCCCCCTTTTTTTTCATCAAACAAGGGCTTCTTCACAAGGAAGACTGACACCAATAGCAACACTTAATGGCAGTTTAGTAATTGTACTCATCCTCAGAGGGTCATTGACCGGTCGCCTTCCACTGCCGTTTTTGGATGCCAATACATGCTATTCAGAACTCAGAAGCTCTGGTATTTGCTTCAGTATTTCTCACATTTCCACCACATACTATATATATACACATACATACACTGTTCCTCATTTATGTAAAGAAAATGTATCACAAGAGCCTTGTCCATATCAGATTGAATTGGGAGAATCTTGTGCTTATAAGAACGGGTGGACAACATTAGCTAACAACTAAGTAATTTTTTTGAATTAAAATGGCAAAACCCTCAGCCGAGGTTTAGTCCCAACACCGACACTCGGTGGTGTTCAGGTATATAAGATGGCCTAATTACAATGAGGATGTCCCAAATTCAGGTATAGAAGAAAATAACACCACCTAATAAGTTAAAATTTTTAAATCAAATGACAAGTGCTCGACCTGTTACACCACACACATGATGAGGCTCACAAACTTTATGTTATAGTCAGCCTAACCCTATGAACCCAAATATCATAGCTTTTTACTGCAGGTGTATGGTGAGACTCACAAGCTTTTATGTCTTGGTCCGCCTAACCTGATCAATCCAAATTTCATAACTTTTTACTGCAGGTGTATGGTGAGACTCACAAGCTTTTATGTCTTGGTCCGCCTAACCTGATCAACCCAAATTTCATAGCTTTTTACAGCATGTGCATGGTGAGATTCACAAGCTTTATGTCTTGGTCGGCCTAACCCGATCAACCCAAGTATCACAACTCTTTATGTCTGTTTTAAAAACACATGATATATACGCATTCACGAGAAATTTAAGAAAAATACTTTTTAAAAATGATAATTAAATCAAAATAATTGAGTTTGAAAAACATCATTCAACTCAAATCTATTAATGTAAAATTAGTGTCTTTAAGATAAATCTACCATTTTTATATTTTATACAAATAGAACACCATATAAAACTCAGGATTGAATGGTTTAGATTACGTGATCCAGTTAGAGTTGGTCCCATCAACGGAAAGGTCTAAATTGTGGGCCAAAGAATTCCATGATTGGACCAATATAGACCCATTGTTTACCCCCTTTTGTTCCCAAGTTCCTACAAGACATGATCAATCAAAAAATGTATCCCCAAACCCAACAAACAGAGTAAACTGCTGTCTTGATTAATATATGATAAAAATGAATAAAAAATAAATTAAAAAAAAGTGGGATCATTAATTGATCATGTACAAGGCAAATGACACTAAGCTCTCTCTCTTCTATATGAACACTTATTAATTTTCAATAAAATGGGATCATGACTTTGGATCAGTCGGTTGATTTTTTGGTGCAGCCAAGGCAAAGATTGAATTGGCAAGCTTGTTAATGGCATCGACAAGGCCATTAATGCCTTCTCTATTGATCTCAGTCTTAGACTCCTCAATCTGTAGTCTTCTCTCATGCAGAGTTAATAGGTCTCTGTGCCTTCTTTCTTCTCTCTCCTCACATGCCTGAATGGCTTCTGCAATGATGGAAGCACTTTTGGAGATGGCAGTGCCCAAGTCATTTGAGGTGCTGCCGCTTGCAGTGCCACTGGTTCCCTCTCCTCCACCACCACCTCCTCCTCCTCTTCTCCTTCTCTTTGCTGGTGAGTCTGAATACTCACTTGTATCAGAATCTGAGCTATCACACATCTCCAAACACATGAACATATATGGAATTAAACCAATCAATATGTATATTAACTGAAATTAATAGTGGGAAAGGGAAGGTGGGAAAGTAAATGCAAATGAAGACTTGACACCCCCATCCAAATCCCAAACAAAAAATATAGGAAAATAATATGTAGTCCAACTGTGACGGACTAACTCGGCTATTTGATGCGAGTGGGGATGACGTGATGTCACGATGACATTAACTTTCACTCATGTTAAACTGGTCGGACTCTCTATTATTTCCTAAACTCCTTTCATTGTAGAGTTTGGGGATGGTGTTGCGCCAAGTCTTACCTCTAACCCCAAACAAAAATAAAATATAATAATAAAGTATAAAAAATAAAGAGTTTTAGTGAAACTGTGAAATTAAGTGGCACACTGTGCAATATGGTACATTGCTATTTTCAATGAAACTTGAATTATATATACATCAGAAAAAGCAAAAACCCTTATCCATAATTTTTCATATCTAAAAAATTGACAAGATACCCATATCTGGTTATGAAGAAAGACGCATTGCCATCAATATAACCCATTGATCAAGAATGTTGTGAAAAATGCACTAAGAAAATGGAAATAGGAATTCCAATCATACCCATAACAATTTTGCTAATTTGAAAACAATGTCACCAATAAACACAATAACAGATTTAGTGCAAAAAGATAAAACTGAAAATGCAATATTAAAATTGAAAGCTCTTGCTTCCTTTTTAGAGAGGATAGAAAGAGAAAAGAATGATGGAAGCAGCAAATAATCATCTGATACAATGAAGAAAACAATATTGGGATCAAATTCTTGATCCCCAATATAGTGCTAAAAGTTCAAAAATGCATGAGAGAGAGAGAGAGAGAGAGAGTACCTACTGAAGGGAATGGCTGAGAATATGGGAGAGAGAGTTGTTGTGCAGGAGGAGGTGGTGGTGGTGGAGGAGGAGGAGGAGGTAATACTGCTACTGGAGCTGAGATTGGAGGCTGCAATAAAGGAGGCAATGAAGGCTGACCATCAGTACTAGATCCACCAGGACCACCACCACCACCACCCACCACCCTCTGACCACCACCTCCTTTCCTCTCCACCACTCCTACCAAAGACTCATAAATCTGAGGCAACATATTGGAAGGCAAGTTCCTCTCTTTCCTCTCATTCTTTTCCATATTCCAATAAGACCCCCCTCCTTTCTCATGATCTGATGATCCTCCCTCTCCTCCTTTCTCACCTAACCTCCTCTCAAAATCTCTCACTTTCTTGAAATCTCTCATCAGATTGTCCCACTTGTCATTGCACTGGTTTTGGCTTCTCAAACACCCATTCCTCCAACAATAATCTTCCACCCATTTCCATCTTAGCTCTGTTGGCTTCCCCCTCCCTTCACTCTCCCCAACTCTCTTCATTCTTCTTTCATCATCCATCTTCTTTGCCTCTATCAGAACCATTGTCTCCTGTAATGTCCAGTTCCCTTTCCTGTAGTCCCTCAACACACTACTACTACCACCTTGATTAGCCATCACCAAGTGCATGCAATAGCATAACAATATAGAGAGAGAGAGAGAGAGAGAGAGAGAAAGAGAAAGAGAAAGAGAGAGAAAGAAGAGGAGAGGAGAAGGGTATAGAAAATTGGCTCAAAGTGTCTTTATCTCTCTCTCACCTTAATTTTTTTTTTTTTTAAAATTTTTTTTTTTTGTGGGTGAGTCAAATATATATCACTAAATTTACTAGTAGTACTTCAGGTAAGGAACATAATTTGGTCTAGTGAAATATTGATGAGTGGTGTTTATAAACATGATGACACCAGGGCTAGGACACTAGCTACTAGGTTTTTTGTGTGCAAATTTAGGAGGAGGAGGAGGGGGAGGAGGAGGCAAAGGTAAGTTGCTTGTTTTCATCATCGTTCTCCTCACATTTCTACTTTCTTTCTTTTAGATTTGTTACCTTTTTGAGCTTTACTTTGATCTAGCTGGAATCCCCTTAAAATCTTCAAAAATCTTGTGAGTTCAAAGTTGAAATCTTAACACACTTATTCAAACCACCACTCCCTACAAAGAAAGACTAGGGGGAGAGAGAGAGAGATGCTAATATGTGGTAGAAAGCACACCATTATAAGAACAGGCCAACCAAATCCCTTCAGACTGACAAATCAACACCACCCAAAAATTTCACACACACATACACATACAATGTGTGTCTGTGTGAGAGAGAGTAAGTGACTATCAGAACCATACACGTGCCCAATACAGGAATCAATCATCATGAGAGTTATCAAATTATGGCCATGTTAGGAGAGTTAATTAAAATCAGTGGGTTTAAAGTACAAACTTTTTGGGAGCCTCCATATACGCATCATTCCATGCAAAATGAAATCATTCCAATTAGTAATTTTGTTTAGTTTCACGTTACATAATCTAATGCTACTACTACTTAAACGTGCAGTCTAATCATTAGTTGGTTCATGTAGGTTTAAGATTCTCTGAAATGATAGCACTTCACTTTCCTAGCTAGCTATTATTATGTGCACTCGTGTTCTATTGTACCGGTTTATTCTTCATTTTATTTATTTTTTATTTGTTAAATATTCATTAAATTTGTTTGAAAAACATTATTAAACTGTCACATTTGTATTGTTGGATTTTTAATATGCTCTATCTATCTATATTTAGTACTTTTTTATTTATTTTTTATTTTTAATTTAGTATTTATTTATAAAATAGCGTACAAATATTATTCCACTTAAACTGCGTTAAATAACACACGCTGCATGCAGTCTCAACATAAAATTACATACATGTACACCAAACGATGTAATTTTGATGCATAGGATATGCACAAGTTTCCCTCCTTCAACATAAAAACTGGAAACAATTAAAAGTTTCAATATGTAAAGGTGCAAATGGATCGGACCTCAATCCCAGTAAAACGTCAAGACAAATTGTATCGATCTGGTTTCCAATTTGATGAGAATCAACTAATTTTTTTATTTATTTTAAAGTTGATCGAGTTAGACTTATGCTCAAATGAAATTTGAATTAGGATTGAAAATTTTCTACTCAAAAAAACCTCATAGGTGGTTCTCTCTCCCTACAGAGAGGGTAGAGTTAGGGTATTATTTGTGTGTTATAGTAGTATTATGAAGAAAAAGATTTTCAAAAGGAAATAGAAGTTTTTACTACTCAGTCAATAGGTAATTCATTGTAAATGAAACATTGGCAGAGATATGGCATGTGTTAGGTGGATGCATGAGATGATGCAGAATTGTGTATGGTGGTCTGTCCAACATCATGTACCTCATCAAACATGATCAAGGAAACAATATCTACATTAAAAGACTAGTGTGACATGACCAAGTACCCTAATCATTTGATTAGCTTCACTATCCTTGGCATCCAATGTTACTTTCAAGAAAAACAATTTCATTCATATCATCTGAAGTTTAGCATAATTATATTATTCTCCTATATATTTTTAGTAATTACACTAACTTTTGAAATGTTCATGGCAAGAAACGCGCACACATCACTTACACACTCAATTTGCTCATTTGGAGACTTGAACCTTCACCATCTACTTTAAGAGGTAAAAAAAATAGCCATTAGACCACGACCCTTGATTGCAGTACATATTCAAAACCCTGCGTATGTACACACACACACACACACACACATGTATAGTAGGTAAATATAAATACATGCATCTACTTATACAATTCATCCCTCAATCAAACTAGAGATGAACATGCGTTACATGCAGGGATCGACCCATGAAATTTTGTGAGGGGGCAATAGGGGATTTTTTTTTCTTCGTAATTTCAGGGGGGAAATATTGAAATTTCATAGGTAAATAATTCAAAAAGAAAAAAAGTCAATAATGTATAATACTAAAACAAGAAACAAAAAAATTGGAGGGGGGGGGGGAGGGTGCCCCTCACCCTATGTAGGTCCATGCGCGTGAACATGAATTGATTTTAAAAAATGCTATTGACCTAATATCTTAGAAACCATGGAGCCAAACACACCCACACACATATGAACTAGATAGAGGTGTACATCTACTATGATCATTAGATGAGTTGAATTTAGGATCCAACTTTAAGAAACGTGAGTCAATATCAGTTCACGAGTTCTACGTCTAAAAAAGTTCTTTGATTAAAATGAAAAATACCAAAAATAAAATAAAATAAAATAAAAATACAATTGAAAATAACCAATTAATTGCATAAGTGTGTCATTTTACATGGGTTGAAGTATTCAACTTATTTCAGTACAATAAGTGAGGTGAGGGTAGGGATGGCAATTTGTACCACCCCGTCCCGTTAATCACTAGTATGGGAACTCTTTTTATACCGTAGGGGTAGGTACGAGTACAAAATTGAAACCCGTCGCGGGGATGAATTTTAGTGAACACTTGCCCTGCCCCTTCCTACCCGACCTTATATATTTTTTCTTTTTTTAAAAAATTATATATATATTTATGTGTATATACGTGTCTTATAACTTAAGTTAACCTAAACACTAACTCCCTATTGGCATGGACTGACTTCTTTGCACTGGGTCATTTGGCCTTCATTTTTAATGTCCTTTTTGTGCCTTTTGTCTGTTGTTTCAAGCTCAGGTTGAAACTTATGTAACTGTTACACATTTATAAATTGCTTAACATTCCAAAAAAAAAAAATCAAAATAAATAAAAAATCCTAAACGGGGCGGGACGGGCAGGCACGGGTATAATCATTTTCCAACGGGACGGGGATAGATTATGAAAATTCAACCTATTGCGAGGACGGGGCGGGTCTAGAGTTGTCAGTAAATAAACTGGACGGGCACGGGTTTAGGCAAACCAGCTCCAAACCCGCCCTGTTGCCATCCCTAATGCATGGAGGGAGTAATTTGTTATCAATGTTAAAACTCCATGGGAGGTCAATGCATTTATTCAACACATAAGAGAGAATGGTGTTATTTTAAATAACTTGGGGGCAGGTAAGTGATATAATAGTTCACACCATACAAAACCCTAGATTTGCTCGAATTACAAGGTTGCCCATGAACTTGAACTTGTTAAGAAGAGGACAGTTTTGTCCTTTCGAAAAATACAGATCTCAGTTTCCACTTTTGAGGCCAAACATTGCCACGTGGACCTTTATCTTCGCTTTTCTAACCTGCCATGGTGGGGCCCACTGGGCAGAGTTGCTTTGACTAAGTGGTTTGACCAGAGAGGACACTTCATGGGGTCATCAAAGCCCTGACTCGTCGTTCTTAGTTTTTGGACTCTAGCCTGTTCTTTTTAAGGGTACAAAGACCAAGGATAAAATTGTCTTTTCAAAGCATAAGCTATTTCTACTCTTGATTGGCCATTAATCACTTTTGGGCCCGCCATCGCCAGTATTTAATTTGCTGTGATTTAGGGTGGCATGACTAGGTACGAAATGTTCACACCAAAACTGTGGTCCAAGCCAACAAAACAGTCAAATTGATTAAATTAGGTTAAAATGAATCGAGTTAAGTCAAGTTTTAGTCGTTCTACATTTGAATTTGGGCTCTTCACCTCAAATTCGGCTTGACATTACTCGTTTAATAGTAAATATTTTGATGAAGTTATATTCATGAACACATAGTGTAAACAAATTTACACGAATAAAACTTAATAATATTCGGATACACGAATAAAACTTAATAATATTCGGATTCGTTTCATTTACTTAATGAATGAGTCAAACTTACAATGACACGATCCGAGAATTTATGAATTATTAATTTGCCGCTCTTATTAATAGTGGGACCACTTCTGGTAAAGAGGTGAAGGGTCCTAGAGATTTTATGGCTTGGACCACCTGTGAGAAGGTGGTCTGCTACCCAGCTTGCATCAGGCTCATGGGTCACCCACCATATATACATATCTATATGTATATATGTGCTACCCCAACTTTGACAAATTTCTCTCCTTTATCAGCAATAAAAATGGTTGTTTTAAACTATACTCTTATAAATGTCATTATGTCACCTAGTCAGTGCTATACATCAAATTTGGTCATCAACTTTGATAAATTCATGTTATTTGTTAGGGCTAGACACAATAAAGGAGTGTGTGTGATGTATTCATATTAATTATATTTCTCTATTAAAAAAAAAAAAAAATCACTAATTTTAAGTTCTGAACAAGATACATTTTCAAAAGTAAAGAAGAAAGAGCTCATCTTTTCATCTAATGCATTGAATAAACAATTGACACTGTATTCATCCAAGCTTTAGAAAATAACAATTGTCTATGGTTTTTAACGGGGAATATAAGTTGTGAATCATTTTCTTTTACAAGAGATAGTCAAATGGCATTTGGTGGCATGCATAATGTGAAAAAGGTGATTCTTTTGAAAATAGTGGAAATTGCACAACCTAAACTTCATATCCATCACTATCATGGGTCGCTGACGTATGAGTTGGTTTATAACTTTTTTTTAAGAATATAATATTATTACACACCTCCGTGAACGACCGATTCCCGAGTCCGTTACACTGTGACCACGAGTGATATGCATGTGTCAAAACTGATACTTCTAGATACAAAATTAGTTGTAGATTACTTATGCAACAACCATACATCGCTAATTCGTAAGACATCCTATGACACGAGAAAATTCGAGTTCTAAATCTTGAAAAGTAAAAATTGGTATCAAAACAAGTGTCTATTGAGAGATTTTCCTCAACTCAACTATTATTATTATTATTTAATTCCGAAAAGAAACTCACCCCTATAGGTTGGGACGGACTTAAGTAGAAATAAATTTTTTTAGTATTAAATTTTTATTTTTTTTTAAATAAATAAAATTATGTAGCTGTAAAACTATATACTTGCCCCCCTAAAGTTGAAACAAAAAATCATTGTTGCTCCCCTCATCTCACGGCTGGAACAGAGACGTCTGAACTCTTAGGGACTTAGGCGGGTTGCTTAAGACCCCAGCTAATAAGAAGGCCTCAATTTTTATTTTATTTTTATTTTTATTTTTATTTTTTAATTTCTTCATATTATATCCTTCCTAAAATTTGTATTTCCTTCGTATTATCACTCCAGCCAAAATAAAGACCCCAAAATTTGTATTTCCTTATATACTTTCAAAAAATTTTATTTGTTTATATTATAATCTTCCTAAAAATATTATTTCCTTCTATTATTAAACTCTACCCAACATAACAGAAAGGTCCCAATTTTTTTTATTTTTTTTATTTCCTTATGTTATAACCTCCTTAATTAAAATTTTTATTTGTATCGATAATTAGATATTTAATAGGGGCCAAAAGATTTATATCTTTATCTTACCTCCTTTTTCTTTTTTCTCTAGAATTTGTAAAACTTTCCATAATCTTATTTTAACTTTTCTTTGTTTTGTTTTTTTTTTTTTTCCTTCTTATTTATGATGCGAAAATCGATCTCCAAAGTAGGCTGAGCAGCTTTGAATACCACGACTGGAGGTGTTTTGATGAACCAACTCACTGGAGTTTGTGTTTTCGACCCAATCTGAAGCCTTTATTGAAGACCCTTACTGAATTGCCGAAGATTAAACCCTCTACCGTACACTGACTCGGCCACTTTTCTCTCTCATTAGTATTGTAAAAAAAATCCCCAATCGAGCTTCTACTTTAAAATGTGAGAAAATACCATCGATAACCTCACCAACGACTATTAGGATCCCTATAATCATTAAATAATAGCCCATTATTCCTCTCCTACCAAACATGCTAGATTGATGAGGCAAGGGAAAGCTAAGAGCCTAAGAAGTTGCCCCATTGAATGCATTGGTGGCCCAAGCAATGACAACATCCAGCTACTGGTTACATCGAAACCACATTTTGCAGAAATAATGGTCCAGAGTCCAAAGGAGTACTGACAGAAAGAAAACAAGTGGTCATAGTCTTTTGCCTATCTTCTACAGAAATAGCAGGTGATGGAATATATAATGCCAAATCTCAATAATTTTGTGTGTCCATTGAGCTTGTATCTAATGGCCAACCAAATACACTAAATCTGTGCTTGGGAATAACATAAGGTACAAAATTAGATGTGCCCAAGGTACTCTTGGCAATGGGGATAAATCCATTCCAATTCCCTACAACCGAACGTAGATGATAATTATCGCAAGCACTTTAGAGCTCTCTAATGTTGAAAGGTAATCTTGAACAAGTTACAGCAGCAGTTACAAAAATTTTACAAAAATGGAGTTGTTAGGAGAATGTATTGCACCAAATAGGTACATTCTATGTAGAACTGTAACATACATTGACAATCTTGTATTCCTAGGGCATTGACATTCCCCCTGCATCAGACTTTTGGGGGAAAAAATGAACAGAGCAGATAGGAGGAAATAGTTGCAATGACAATACTTGAATAAAATTTATGACCATCGCTTCTGGCGTAATTTAGAGATTGTTAAGTCTGCTCCACCGAAGCCATCCATTACGGCATTTGCGGAAGGAAACTCAGCTCTTGATGTCAAACTATGAGATTCAAGATAAAAATAAAGATCAACTTAGACATGACCTGACTGGTCAGAAATACAACAGCAAAAATAGATAAAAGCACCAAAGAATGAAGGTCGAGTCAACAATTCCTTGTAGAATTCTGCAACTTACTGGGAAAATAAATTCAGCATAAAATTTGAAGATCGACCATCTAGAGGTAATAAAAATCATCACTACTATGTGATCCAAAATGATTCACCCCCTCCTCCCCCCAATTATTTGAAATTTGACCCTCGTAAAGATAGAAGAATCATCTAGGAATTTTAACCTATAATTTTTGAAATTTCACCCTCATAAAGATAAGCTACAACATACATACAATCTGGAATTCTCAATACTCTCCATTGGATAGAAAGCTTAAAAAGATATTATTTATGGGCGATGATTAGTCTTTTGACTCTTTTCTTAATATACTACTTGGATTTAGGATTCTAAAATATGAAGTTTTTACACGTTGACTCTGAAGTCTATTTTAAGCTCTTTTAAAGGATCCATTTAATGACTTAATACGTAATTTGACCTAAATAAGTCCCATAAATCACTACATTCCATCTTCGACAAATTCATAAATAACCCAAAAAGTCCTTGACTCCAAAATGTAAGAAAACACAATAAAATCATGCCAGCAACATGATAACCTAAAACTAACACAAAAAAAGACTCATATTAAACCTAAACTTCATTAAAAGTGGGCCAGACTGAAATCCGTGTGAAATTTCCAGTTTGCCTTTGTGATGTTGGGGTCCAAATTTTGTTTCGACCCGGGTCGTGTTGCAACCCGGATTCGAACACTGCCCCCGAGAAAAATTTCATGACCCATTTTCTCTTATGAGTCGTGGACCTTGTTTAGCTATTGTCGCTCGGTACATAAGGGTGGTTAAGGTTTGGAGTGGCATATCGAGAGAATACTGAAAACCGCAGGAAAGAGAGTGAGAGAGAGCTAAGTGTTGGGGTAGAAACTTATAATCTCCTATTTTTCGCATAATGAAATATTTCGCCGGATCTTCACTGTGAATGTAGGCTTTGCAGAACCACGTAAATCTGTGTTCTTTGTGTGTGGCGTGTTTACTTTTCTATCGTAATTCTTGGTTTGTTCTTGTTTCGCGATGTTTGTCATAATAGCCTTAATATTATTATCATGCTTATATCACCTCCTTGCTATGTTATATTAACTCTTCTAGACAAGCAAGTACCCACATCCAGCACACCAACACTTAAGGCATGCATACAAGATATGTCTCCCACGTTTCTAGCGAGCCATGCACCAAGCAAGCATATCTAAAAATTCAAGCCTATTATATAACTGTACAAACATTGGGTATGTGTACAAGACGTGTCCCACATAATTAATGGTCAGCCATGCACCAAGCAAGTATACTATATGACTGTATATAAAACTCTCTTATTAAGATCCTTTTTATTGCTTCAAAAAAAATGAATTTCGCATATTGAACCATGTGTTGCATAAAAAATCATTTACCTCTTGAAAATAAAAGGAAAACATTACAAAATATAAAAAAATATATAGTTGTATCTTTGACTCTTTGTATCCTTGGGTTTTGGGATTTAATAAACTGACATTTAAGACATGTTACCCACACTTGACACATATACTTGAATCCATGTAACATAGCCTCACCGTGACCATATCCCATTTTTTTTAGGATTGACCACATTGAGATTTTTGCATTGTTTTGTGTCAATGTCCATACTTACATAGCTCAATTCTAATCGATCCTTAGTTTCAATTGGAGCTTTTTTTTTTTTTTTTTTGGCCCTTCTTAATGTGCTTATAATACACTTCTTTTCATAATCTATGTTACTTGGATGTGAAGGCCCAGTACTAGTGTGTGTCTTAAGCATTATTGGGTCCTTCTAATCCCTAAAAGATACGTGGAATCGTGGATATTGTAATTATAAGAGCGATAAAAATTACAATTCCAAGTCTGAAAATACAAACGGCAAAGGATTAGGTCTTGTTTCATCTTATGTCGACTGGTTTACTGCAAATATGAAACCCTCGCCTGTTGGGAACATCTCTGGCAGAATTGAATCATGAGAAAACGGAATACAGCATCCCCGTCCCACCACTATATCCATGTTTCATTGTGTCAGACAGTCAGTACAGTTACCCCAGGGAAAAAAGTGATAAAATCCATATCAAAATAGACAATATAAATTCACAATTTTTTTATGGGCAGGTTTCCATTGCCAGTAGATCTCCACTATGGAGAAGACTAAAGGATAATTATAATAATTGGCGTTCGATATTCAGTTTTCTACTGATCACCATCTTATGTGAAGCTACAACTCTAGGTCAGTGTGAAAAAAATAAAGAAAAATAAATCATATCTGAAAAAGTTGGCATTATGAGACAAGAAATATTGCTTTACCTGCTCCTAACAACAACACATGGCATGCCTATTCGCTCAGCTGCAGCAACTCCAGATTGGCTTCCGGTAATAAGCACGCAATTGTAGACAGATAATTCTGCATATTCCGCTGCTGCTCGTAATGTGGCAACAATCTTCAGTAAGCTGGATAAATGTAAAACACAGATATCAGATAAAAAAAGGGGGAACTACAGTGAATGAACTAACATTAAGAGACTGATATTGTTGTAATCAATCTGCATTTCACAATGGACTATGTTATGTTATAAAAGGGGCATTAGCGGGGGCCAACCATTGGGCCGGTGGGGTGGACTAGAGACAGACTTAAACTTCAACATAATTTTGCACCAAGTGACTGCTCTCTACTCAACCCTTATTCTAATGATTGTCAATACGAGTTTTTACATATGGACCTAGTAATTGGCCCCCATACGTAGACAATAGTCAAAAGACTTATACAGTACAGCCTCTGAAAAGAGAGGAATGCCACAGGTGTAAAATTTTCAATTAGCAGTTATACATGTTCTCATCAAGTGAAAACATTGCAAAACATTTGAGATGTTCAAGTCAGAAAGAATTTGTTTTGTAAGAATAGAATTATTATGCACTAATAACTCAAAATGGCACAAAAAGACAATCATGTGCAACAAGAAATTACCGAAACCACCCTTGACTCCACAAACCAAATAAAAAAATGGTAAAAACTATAACATTATCTTATTATCCTAAAATCAACAAAATATAATACTTCAGTCAACCCAATAATAAACTTAGCATGCTCCTCATGAAATTTTATATGTGCCCTTTTCTTGTAATAATGCTCTGCATCATCAGATGAGCGCAAATTATGTTACCAATTCAGTACCTTAACTGGAACATACTCCCTCTGTCCATATTAATAATCTCTTTCCTTCTTGGATTGTCCCAAAATACGTGTCCAATTTGAAAAGTCAAAAGAAAAATAAATGCAAGCTTTCCATTATTACCCTTTAAGTTTTCAAAATTCTTCCAACTTGATAATATACATATTTAAACTTGAAAGGACAACTCAGTAATTTTAGAAGGAGATAATGCATGAATTGCATGTCCCCTTAAAAAGGTTCTAACAACAAAAAGGGACAACTAATATGGGACGGAGTAAGTAACCAACTTTCCTACATATTTCAAAATCAAGAAAATTCATATATAGAAGTCATATTTTAGATCCTTGACAACAATTATAAGAAGGTTTAGGTTTCTGAAACAGTTTTCCCCCTCTATTTTTGATAGATAGGTTATTGAGACAGCCGTAAGTTAACTAGTTAATTTTTCATGACATTGGAATCTCAAGAGAGGTTCAACTCAATAAGTAAATATTTTACAAATACTCCAAAGAGCTAGTAAAATAGAAACACTAATTCCTTGACAGTGATAGTCATCTTGCCACCGCATAGCATATATATGCACCTTTGAAAGCATCTTTATAAATATTATAATACCAAGCTTTAAAAATGCAGTACCATATGGATTATGGAATTAAATGCCATCTACAACTTTACAGAAATTTACTGATCAGACACCAAAACATTGGGCTGACGAGAATAAAAGTATAAGACTTTCTCGAAGGTACCAGCATAAAAGGAAGAAAGAATAACCGATAGAACCAAAAGGGATTTACAGGGCTACATGAAAGATGAGATTCTAGAGCATCAAATCATCAAGAAAAATATATAACTTGTAATTCATATAATCATATGTAAGCTTCTAAAAGACACCAGTTTATTAGTGAGGCATCTCCTTTGGTGCTATTTCTTGACAGGCTATATAGTATAAACCAGATAAGAACATCCAGAGACCAAGAATTTGTAGATGCATATCGAAAAAGAAAATGGACTTACATGTCTGTTGAGCTTGTATCAATTTCAACACTCAACTTTAGCATGGATGCCACTTGCTCTGCAATTCTTTGTTTCTCAGCAGCAGCTGGCCAAGAAAGTAAGAAATGAGCCCCTTGATACTGTAGCATCTGAAAAAATATCTCTAGACTTGAACAAAGATATGCAAACCAGCTCATCACAGGGAATTTACCAGCTTTTCTAGCTTCCTTAGCTAGTTGCTCATCCAAACTAGAAGAGACTCCTTTACCAAGTACAAGTTGGCCGTAAAAACTCTGCTCAACCTCCTCATTCCCAACAATCTTTATCTTTGATATTCTATCATTGCCTAGTTTCTCAATAATGGATCTAACAATAAACACAGAAAGAAGGAACTTTTAGCTTGTTCTCAAACTTTCCATCAGTCTGCTGCATTAGTCCTATGAGGTTCAAAGCCCAATGATATTAGACAGACAACATCATTCATAAAAGAAACAACTCATCCAAGTGCAAACAACAATGGCATTCACTATAAGGAAATCTTTGATTCCAATAAGGTTCTCAGTGAGACCACCCCACTTCAGTCATCATGAGTTGAGCATGAGACCACATGAATGCCTGGCGATTTAATTAAAAGCACAATCTCACTCATTCAACTAAAAGAACAAGACTAAAAGCATAGAAGCACCTAGCAGAAGGTTATAATGCACATATTTTATATAGTATACTGCATAGGAGCCGCATTTGTAAATTAAGCATAATTTAAAAACTAACTAAAGATGCCAGCTAGATCAACTGATAAAGACGTGTCAATAGCAAAACCACGTGCTTGTTTTTCAAGTCTACTAGAAGTTTGGAATCCATCTCTGATGGTGTAACGACCCTAGACTCTGAATGGATTAAGTACAAGGTCCATGATGATCTTTGACTCATGATTTCTTTCTTTCATATAATTAATGCTTACTTAAAAAATGTCAATGTCATATACCATATCATTATTTTAAGGACTGTGACTAGAATGAATTGACAAAGGCATAATATATATCATCTGGCTTTCAATTATAAGATTTGCCAATGAGGTCCATTGTGTGTGTTTATCTATATATATGTGTATTACATATATTTATATATGTATTTGTTTTTCTAGTTGTAGAGTTCTTAATGGAATTCTAGATGCATATGTGATTTCTCCTACTACTTCTTATGTGATGCTTGTTTGCTGAGCAGTTATGTAATGTTGTTATTGACAATGCTGTGGGATTGTTATAGATGATGCAACTGAGGTACCTTTTTAATGGGTGATGTGATAAGGTTTCAAAAAAATAAATTAAAATAAAATAAAGAAGAAGAAGAAGAAAGAAAGAAAAGGAGGGCCAAAACAGGATGAATATTTTCAACAGTTGAAGTTTCACAACTGTCATAATAAACATTCTGCATTTGTGAATTATAATTAAACTACATTTCTGCATTCCAAACACTTTAATGTATATATATTAATCTCGAAACAGACCTTGCTACTTTATCCCCACTAGAAGCGTAGGCTGTCAGTATGACCACAGGTATCCCTTCTTTATGTGCATCATCAATAAAACTGCCAAAAAAGGCTGCAATATATCAAAAAGATGCTGATGCTATAAACAAGATTGACCAAATAAAACCAATAAAAAAAAAAATAGGGAAGCAACAGTAGTAGTAGTAGTAACAGCAGCAACAACAACAATAAAATAAATAAAACAATCATGGAAAACACAATGGGGAGTTTCTTAAAATTGATTGTGAGACTAAGTTTGAATTAACTGCTCAAGTCAAGAATGCCCGTAGACTGGTAATTAGTCGTAGGTTGTGATATGCAATAATATAAGTGGTTTCAATTGACAACTATTCGCCAAGAAATTCTAAAATCCATCTCAAACAAAAATAGAAAATTAGGTGCTGTAATGGTTAACAATTTAGTCTTAGCCAAAGGAAAGAAAATCAAGTGCTCTAATAGGTGAGCCTAAGAAACTCTAAATAAGATTCCTACACTATGTTTGGTACGAATGAATGAATTAAAAAAGGAATAGAATGTTGTATGGAATGGGACGGAAATAATTCAAGAATTAATCATTCCATGCACTACTACGTCACAAACATTGAATGGTGCAGGACCAAGACTGTCATTTCTATTGCAGTGTTTTGACAGACCTTTTTAAATCTTGGAATAAAATGGAAATTCATCTTTCCAATATACTTCAATATATATCAGGGTCTTGGTGAAGAAAGCGTGAACAGAACAATGCAGAATGAGTAAATCAAAGAGAGATGAGAAAGAGCCGGGGTAACAGTCGAAAGAGACGATGAAAATAAACTAAGATAGAGGTAGTGAGGGGCAAGAGCGTGAAAACTCACCTAGGTAGGACCTATTGTCACTGTGTTGAAAATATTCTGGGCAAAAAATGAGTGTTAATTGGTTAAGTAACTTGAGTTTGTGATTGATTTTTGAGTCAAGTGTGATAAGTCATGTTGATCTACCTGCTCATTTGATCAGGTAAAGTAGTGATTGAAAACTAGTTGAACTAGAACTTGAACATCGTGAATGCCGGATGGTGATATGGAATCAATGATTGATTAACTTGGATCACACATAATTTAGAGTTGGTAAGTTCAACTCCGTGGAACATAGGCTTAGTTGGATTAAAATTGATTTGGAAAACTTTGATCAGCTTGAACAGTGTCCTAAAAAGTTTCTAGTTTCTAAAATTGTGTTTTTCTCAAAGTAGAAAATTTGAAATTCTTTTAAAGTTTTTTTTTTTTTTAATGGGAGACACAGAATTGAGCAGGGCTGCTTAGACTGACCAATTGTCAACTAGACAGTAGGACGAGCACTGATGTCATCTTAGCAACGACTTCAGCACCAACTTGAATTGCCCAGCACAGATGCTCAATTTTCCAGTTTGATAAAACTGTAATTTCCAAATATGAAATCTGTTCTAGTCAGTTTTATTGGGATTAGGGTCTCTAACCATTTTATAAAAGCCATATGTTTTTCTTTTAGGGAGACATGCATTTTAAGCGCTTGGAAACTTTGAGAGGGAAACGTTAAGAGAATAAAGTGAAAATTTTACAGGTACACACTTTGAAAGATTGATAGATAATTTGAAAACCATGTATTTTTCAAAGTACTTCTTTATGCATGATGAGAAATTTCGGATGAGAAACAAGCAACGGATCTCCCACTGTATATTATACTAGAGTGTGGACTTTTCCTTGTGGAGAACGTAGTTTACTTGGTGGACTGGGTTAACAATTGCTGCAAAAGAAGGTAGATCGAGGAAGTACGACAGCACTTAGACTGCATTGATCGTAAACAACAGGTGGACATGTGGTGACAAATACACGAAATTCAAGTAACAACGTGTGGAACCAACAGGAATGTTGTGAGTGAGTAAATCAGTGAGTTGGTGGTTCCAGATACTGGAATCTGTAACTAGCGATAAGCAATAATCATTTTACTCTTTTGACATGGTGGATTGGTTAGGATCAGAATGATATCCCCGTGGTTTTTCACCATTGGGCTTTCTACGTAAATCTCTATGAATCTTGATTTTGGTTCCTCCATTGGTTGCATGTGTTTGTGTAGAACTGGTTCAAAATGAGCTGCAAACAACCATCACGAAAGTAGACCTAAAGGCTAAATCAACCCACCCCCACCCCCTCCTTTCTCCTCCTGCCCGCCAAAACACGCGTGTGCAACCAAATCCGTGATTCCACAGCATTTTCTTGTATGCAGCTCTCATGTAGGTTTTCCAAGAAAGCATGTTACAAGTTTGAAAGTACAAAGAATTTCCCCCAATTACAGAGAGAGAATTTCTTCACTCCCAATGCTTTCTAACCTCTTTTCCCTCTCGATTTCCCTTATTTATAGACGGTTACAACCTCCTCTGGCCTGGGCCTTATCTGCTCCCTTTTGCCTGGACTCAACTTTTCTCATTTTAATATGGGCTTCTTTAATGTCTTTATGGACCTGGGCCCATCCCGCGCGAACTTGCTCCATCTTGTTTGTCCATACCCGACCCGTCCTTTGCAACACGGATCATACCAAGCCCGGGTCATTTTGGTGTCCTCATCTGCCCCCAATAATCTCTCTCCTTATTAATGAGGGTGAGATTATTGAAAAGACACGATCTTGGTCTGACGGCTCGGAGCAATGACACGAGGAATCGAACGACTGGCACAAAAACCCAAGCTTCGAGATCTGCAGCGCCACTTTTTGCCTTGACCTTTTGAGTTCCATGTCGCCTTTACTTTTCCTCTTTATAAATTCCGGTCTCTCAACCTTCACCCTTCTTCTTATATCTCGCTTCTACTCTCTGCTGCCTTCCTGCACATTCCGGCGATCCTTTTCAATTTCTCCGGCGAGTCTTTCCTTTTCGATTTTTAGCTACTGTGCCGTTGCTGCGTTCATCACAAAATTTCAAGGTCAGTTTTTTTTAAATCTCTCCTTAAAAAGACGCCTTTACTGCCTAGGACTCTTCCCCTTCTCTATGGCTCCCCCTAATCTGAACCCCATTCGATCCAAGAATTACATTCCTCGCGATGTTTCTCTTAGAGTCTATCTAATAAACTTAGACGGGAGATCTGGTGAGGGTCTCCTTCCTGGGGAAGTTTTATTCTTCGCCGTTTATTTAAACGTCATTAGGTTCCCCCTACACCCATTCTTTTGTTATGTTTTCAACAAATTGGGGCTCTGCCCCCTACAAGTTAACCCAAACTTTCTTAGGGTAATTTCAGTCCTCCTGCTCTTGAATCGTGACAGGGGTCTCAATCTTGACATTATTGACCTTCTCCTCTGCTGTCGAATTAATAAGATTTCACAAAATGATTTGTACTATCACTTCTTCCCTATTGACAAACGGTCGATCTGCACTGATAAGAACTCATTTGAAAAAGGTTGGAGACGAAACTTAATTGTGGTTAGTGGGAATTGGCAGACTCCGCTTGGCTAATCCTTCTCTATCCCTTCTTCCTTTGGTACATGCTCTGTCTCTGGCTACAAAAAGCTGAAAACACATCCTACTGAATGCCACTGCGAAAGTTGTCTTCCCCGTTTTTGCACTTTTCTTTGTAGATGTCTTCAGATTCCCCATGATGAACTGGTTTATAGCGTCTACAGGGCTAGGCTAGACATCTTGCAAGAAAGTGTGCTAAACAATGTCCCTTCAGCTACTGATTTGCTTACATCTGACAATCTCTCTGACATCTCTCTTTTAGGGTCCACAATGGAGAACATTCAGATCCCATCTTTCAGCAGGAGGAGGCGTTCTGCTCCCACCCTTTCTAGCGCTCCTGCTATCACATCATCATCTACACCCGCTTCCACATCGTCTTCCCTTGCTGTCTCTGCCCCAGAGCAAGTTGTGATTGTTCCAACTGTGACTCAAGTCACGAACCGTTCCGCTGTTGAGCCTTCTGAGCTCACTCATGCTGAGAACCCTATTGTGGACCATATTGCTGAGATACGTCCTGCTGCTCCCACCATTATGCTTTCCAACATCTCGTCTGATACTTCCTCAGAGAGCACTCAGGATGCTAAAAATTCTCAAGACAATGGAGGGCCAACTAATGTTGGTCTGTCAGAAAAAAGTTTGGGAAAAAGGCTAATGCCTGAGGGCGGTCATGATCGGAGTGATATCCCACCAGCCTGGAGGATCAGGATGGCTTCCTTCAGGATTACTGAACCATTGCCCCCTACCCGGTTCTTCATTCCAGAAGGCGAATCGGCCAGAACCTCTGGTCTGACTCCATCCGTTCTTCCATGGCGACCTTTGCTCAGCCGTGAAGATGGATCGACCATTGGCCCCACTGACTCAATATATAAGGATCCCCTCACCTCCTTTGCTTTCTACAAGGGTTTCTGGACCCCCAAGGACCTTGAGATTCAGAATAAGCTAACCTTTGGTGAGATGTTCCAGCGGTTCCCAACTGCTGCTATGGAGGTGACTCTTTTTTTATTGAAATGCATTTCCTTTCTGCTATAACTCTTTAGTAGCTAGTCTGACCTGAATTTCCCTTCCTTTATGCAGACTCTATTTGGGATGTTCACTTTCCAAAAAACCATTGAGACTTTGAACAAAAAGCTTAAATCCCTCTTTGTGGGCCTTAAACATTCTGTTGAAGCAGAGAGCCTCCTTGAGGCCAAGGTTGCTGAGCTGGAGTCTAAGCTGAGCGAGTCAGAGAAGGGGGTTGCTGACTTAAAGGCAGAGACAGACGGTCTGGCAAATGAGAGGGATTCCCTCAGAGCTGAACGGGATACCCTGAAGACCGAACGGGATTCTCTTCAGGATGAGGTTGATGTCTTGAAAACTGAGAAGAGCGTCGCTCTGACAGAAAGGGACTCTCTCAAAGCTGAGAAGGGAGACCTTCAGCGCTCACTCATTACTAAACGATTGTCTCATGCGAACTCGCAGGAGAAGCTCTTAAACGAATGGTCTTCCTTGCTGAACATGATTGGCAAAGTCGAAGGGGGTATGAAAGCTCTCCTTGCTCGCTTCACGAGAACTAGTGCCATCCGGTATGTTGAAGGGTACAGAGACAGTTTTATTGACCGTTCTC